TCGGAAGTGTCAGGTTAATCCGTCAATTTTGAAAGCCATTTACAAAAAGAGTTGGGAAGAATGTTATGGCAGTCGTCAATGGCGCTTTTGTAGGGGCGATTGATGGGATTGTGATGCACACAATGACTCGCAGAATTATTTGCAGAAAACCGGGCGATGTACCAAGATTTTTCTTTAACAAGATAAATATGGTAAATTTTGATGTGCTGTATTCGCTCTAGAATAATTCATGTTCGTGTTGATGTTATAGGTTTTTGCTGTAATCAGCTTATCTCAGTGGATAAATTTGAATTATAAATAGCAGAAGAGTGGTTTTCAAACATCTTTGAAGCAAAACATGTATTTTAAACGTTTTTTGATGAGAGCGTGGTAAACTGAGCAAAAAACGGTAGCAACACAAAAATTACTTTTCTGAACAGCTGCTATGAATCATACCGATTTTTTCCATTCAAAACAAAATCACTAAGTGAATGAGGTAAATGACTGCCTATATTTTCTGTTCAGCGGATTCAAACTCACAAACACTTTGAGAACTACCAGTAATCAATTGTATTTGTTATCTAATTACGCTATCACTGTTTGAAAGGATTGTAAGGAAACGACAACAGGATCTCCTAACATTGGAGCTGTTGTTTTACAGTTAATTTTGTACTCGCTTACCGCAGACCATTGGAAACTAATATTAGACTAGTTTCAATTATAGCAGCAGAACCCACTAGGTTTTCAGATGTCAATCGCCCGAGGAACCAGAAAAACTTTTCAATGTCCACTTTTTAAATTAAATTATAACTATCGATACATAGAAAGCATAAAATGCAGTAATGTCGAGAGTGTAATTCTTTCTATTTTTGTAATCTTATCCGAAGAAAACTTTTGACACAAGTTTTCATTTGGCCACAATTTACCAGAAACAGTGCCTGTTTGATCTACACTGCATTCTTTCTTTTAGAAAGAGTTCTAATCGATGGAGCCTATTTGGCTGTAATTTTCGCATGTGTAAAAAAGTTTTTCTTTTTTTTTCAAAATTATTGTCAAGATTCTCTTGACGTGTAGAAAAAAACAGATACAATTGGTGTAATGTATTTATACTTTAGTAAAAGGAAGATCCACAAAGCAAGTAGACAAGGTGGTAGCTATAAAGTAAAGTCAAATTTTTTTTTCTGAAGAAATTGAATAAGACAGTTTTGTGGTTGCAAAAATTACCTTTCAAGTGATGTCAACAATTTTTTTTTGGCTTTGGTTGACGTTTTTTAGGACTTTGAATAGGGGAGAGGGTTTATTTGGTCGCTATCATATTGTTTTGGTTCGTGAACCTTAAGAAATATTGTAGCTGTTTAGTGGTGATAGTTCTTCAAATGCTTATTTTTTGAGCAAAAAAAATATGCACGATAAATCTACCTTTTTCCTCTTCAAAATTTCAATTTTACTTTGCAGTATATCGATAATAAGTGTTAGTTCCACTTTTTTTCTTGCTTTTCACTATATTTTTACAAAAAGGAATTTTATCAACAAGTTTTTCAGTAATAAATGGCTTTTTTCTTTAGAAACTGATGGCAAATATTTTTGAGGAGTTTGTTTCTTCTATTTTTTGCAATAAT